CAGATATATATCTTCAGTCATCCCAATTGGTGCCATGTTTGCTATGACTCTTTGGCTTGGAAACACTGCTTACCTCTATATATCCGTTGCATTTGCTCAAATGTTGAAAGCGATCAGTAAGTAGCACTTGTTGTTTTATAGTTTGAAATTGATTTGGCTTGTCTATACCTAATACCTAATTTTTATAGCAGTTCTCCTACATATTAATTGTGTTACTGATCTCATTCTTGATGACATTTTCAGTGCTGTTGCAGTTTTCATTCTTGGTGTAGCAGCTGGACTTGAAATGATGAGCTGCAGGATGCTTATGATAATGTCAGTGATTAGTTTTGGTGTACTGGTAGCTTCATATGGTGAAGTAATTATTAGCTGGGTCGGTGTTTTTTACCAAATGGGAGGAGTTGTTGGAGAAGCTTTGAGGCTAATATTTATGGAGATTTTGTTAAAAAGGAAGGGTCTCAAACTAAATCCCATATCTGTGATGTACTATGTTAGCCCCTGCAGGCATGTAATTTATCCTTTGAAATATTGGAACCTGTGCTAATAATCTATTTTGAGTTTATAGTCTGTCAAATAATTAAAAATCTTGGTTCATTGTGCAGTGCTATTTGCCTATTAATTCCATGGATCTTTCTGGAGAAGTCGAAGATGGATGCACAGGGGACATGGAACTTCAAACCTCTTGTTCTGACTCTTAATTCTCTTTGTACTTTTGCCCTCAATCTTTCAGTCTTCCTTGTCATCTCGCATACAAGTGCTTTGACTATTCGTGTGGCAGGAGTTGTCAAGGATTGGGTTGTAGTTCTACTCTCAGCCATTCTTTTTGCAGATACAAAGCTGACACTTATCAATCTGTTTGGTTATGCAATTGGTAAGTATCGTTTTTCCCTGCAAAGTGTACTCTCATATCATCCTTAGCTAGCAAATAATGTAGCATTGTGATGCTTCCCTTAAATGTACCACAAAAGCTGGTGTTTTCCTTGCATTTCTCAGAGGCCTCCATTTCTCCACTCTTTTTTATACTGTCGTGCAATTTCAGTTCATGTCTTAAAGTCAAGTTTTAGTGAAGAAACTTGTGTCAGTCAAAAAAAGTGACATGCTGATCATTGATAAGAAATTTATGGGAAAATATAACCACATATCAACACAATTTGATGTCACTTTTGATGGTATATTATGATGTGCTGTATAGGCTTGAGATCTTATTGATTTGTTTCTTTTATCTTATAGATTAGCTTAATTAGCAATCCTTTTGGAGCTTTGATAGGTTGTGTACTTGACAAATGGGCAAAAGAATTTATATTAACGTTTTGAACGAGATTAGCACACATAAATGCACTGACTATAACTCTGGCTTCCTATGCAGCCATTGTAGGGGTAGCTGCATACAATAACCACAAGTTAAAAAAGGAAGCTTCTCGAGTTGTTAGTACAGACGAGCCTGCTCAATCAATCCCACTAGTTTCATCCCCAACTTCGAACAAGTAAAGCTGTATAAGTCAGTGGTCAACTTCAACAAGGACTGGGTAAAGCTTGAATCCAATTCATAAAATGTTGAACACCACAATTTTGAATCAGAATTTACTCCATCAAACTTAATGATACTGAGGAGATGATTATTTTCAGTACACAATTATTGTAATTTGGCAAAATCTGGAACCATATAAACCCTGGAATTTCTCAAATGAATTGTAGATGCGATGAGTCAGATAATGAAAATGGGCTGGAAAAAGCTTGAACACAGTTAGGATTCTTTTGAGTGGAGGAGCTTCTCAACTCCTATTACCCTATGCAAGCAACTTGAGACTATAATCTCGTTCTTACCCTCCTTTGCCATTTACTTTACTCTTTGCCAGTGTTACTTTCTCCTTATATATAGTAGCTACATTTTCATGATCTGGAAATGTGAAGTATTACTTGTAATAGTAATCAAGTTTCAATTTGCTTTAAAATACAAGTAGCTTTAATCCTAACTGTTTGTGTGTAAGGCATCTCCTAGTTGTTGCAGGAAGTTTAGTATGAATCAGAGAAATTGTGAATCTTAATGACAAAAGGAAGAAGGGATAGAAAGTTGGGCAAGACGCAATTTTGAGAAGTTATTTTAAGGACAGTACTACAATACATTAAAATATTTGTAATTTTGAATCCATTTTTAACCTTGAATCGGTCATTTATTGGGAGGGAAATGAAGTAGATGAAAGAAAGTAAGAAGAAAGTTTTAAGAATTCTTGCAGAATGATAAACTATTGAAAGTGTCAAAGTCGTATAGGATTATAAAGTATTAATTTAGATATCGGACTATAAAGAATTGAGTTGGCTGTCAAAGTCGAATACAGTTGCTCCACCTGTCGTTAACAACCAACCAATTTAACCTAGCTGGTTTCATTACAGTGCAAACGTTAACAAGAAGTAGCCAAACAATTTCTACGTCAGCATAAGGAATTAAAAATGCAAAAAATAGAGGTAAAAGTGATTCTTGTCTACTTCATTTTTTCTTATTCTTTCGCAATAAAAAATTTAAAGTAATTAGGAAAAAATAATACTATAGATTCCATTTAATAAATTTATCCAACCAATTGATCAAACTTCATCAGAAATCATTTGGTCATTAGAAAACAAAAACCTTGCTAGATATATACAAGAATTACTATTGATTTAGAATTATCCAAGGTTGCCCAAAGTCACAAAAGTAGGCAGAACCCAACAAAGATAATTCCAGTTCATTCATCCACCAACAACTCACCTACTAACTGTCTACATGCAAATCATGACATTTCAGACCATTTGCAGAAGCAAAGAAAAAGATAACCAATTGATGTTGTACAATTCATTTTGTCAATTTCATCCCATATTTTAAGGCTCAGAAGCCATGGAAGAGATTGTAATCCTATTATTTTCTTGTCCAATCTTAATCTCTGTCACTATTCATGAACAGACATGGTATAAAGCAACAGTTTATTCCATAAAAATTCAAACAATAACAGAAGAAAATGATGAACTGGAAGAAGAAAATGAGTAGTGCAGTTTCAGAATTTGCGCGCGCGCGCACACAAACACTCACATGCACATCACTTTAAAGTAATGGTTGACCCTTTAATTCTTGCCGCTTTGGGTTGTGACTTTCACGGTTCTTCTCCAGCTTCTTGCCTTGTCAATCAGTCACCCCCCCTTCCCCCCTCCCTACAACATTTTCTCTCTCATCCTTATCACTTCTCTTTTTCTTCTTTTAGTGCTCTTTATATGATTGTTCGGTTTCCATGCTTTCATTGGCTCAAAGATAAAATCCAATTTTCCTGTTTTAGTTTCTTGAACTTCTGTTGAACTATGCTTTTTGACTTGTTAGGATCATCAGTTATTTTATTTATTTATTTTTTTTATTATCCCTGTCTTGAAGCAATATGGCTATGAATTTCTGAATAATATGTTAGCGGCAGAAATTTCTTGATGATTGTCCTGTATATGTAAGTAACTTTACATTGTTGGGACAGTTCATGTTGTTTCAAGTTGTCCCAGGCATACCTTAAAGTTTCCTCTTCCAGTACACAGCAGAATCATGGCCATATTCTATTGAATTTCGTTCTTGTTCGACTCCTTGAGAAAAGGCTTAGTAGATTTTCTTCCACATAAATGAAAAGCCAAAAGTATTTGATTTTTGTATTACATTTTTTTTGCCTAATTGTCTTTGTTCGATCATTAAATGATGAGGGGAATATTCTCTTGGAGTTTAAAAATTCCCTTAAAGACCCTTATCATAATCTTCAAAGCTGGAGTTCTTTGGATTCAAATCCTTGCAATTGGACAGGTATAGGGTGTTTAGCTGATTTTAAGGTAACTTCGATTCGTCTTAATGGCCTCAATTTGTCTGGTTCTTTATCTTCAATCATTTGTAAACTCCCTTACTTAGTCGTGATGAATGTGTCGAAAAACTTTATCTCCGGTCCAATTCCTGACGATTTCAATTGTTTTCGTAATCTAGAAACTTTAGACCTTTGCACAAATAGATTCCATGGAGAGTTTCCTACCCAAATCTGCAATGTTACTTCCCTCAGAGAGCTTTATCTGTGTGAGAACTATATATTTGGAGAGATTCCTGAGGAAATGGGCAATCTAACTTTACTTGAGGAGCTTGCCATTTATAGTAACAATCTAACCGGAATAATTCCTTCATCCATTGGGAAATTGAAAACTCTTAGGATTATCAGGGCAGGTCGAAATTATTTATCTGGTCCACTTCCTGCTGAAATCACTGACTGTGATAATTTGGAAGTCCTAGGTTTGGCAGAAAATAAGCTGGAGGGTCCTTTTCCTATTGAGCTACAAAAACTTAAGAGTCTCACCAGCTTGATTCTTTGGAAAAATATGTTTTCGGGTGAAATTCCTCCTCAAATAGGTAATTTTACTAGCTTGGAATTACTTGCAGTGCATGCAAATTCATTCTCAGGAACCATTCCCAAGGAAATTGGGAAGTTGCCTCATCTGAAAAGATTGTACTTGTACACTAATCAATTGAATGGAACGATTCCACCAGAACTCGGGAATTGTTCAAATGCAGTCGAGATTGATCTTTCTGAAAATCGATTGACAGGAGTTATTCCAGACAAGTTGGGCCAAATTTCTAATCTACGTTTGCTTCATCTTTTCGAGAACCTCCTCCAGGGAAATATCCCACAGGAGCTTGGAAAGTTGAAGCAACTCAAAAATCTAGATTTGTCCATAAATAACTTGACAGGCTCAATTCCTATTGAGTTTCAAAATCTCAGGTTCCTTGAGAACTTTCAACTTTTTGACAATAATCTTGGAGGTATCATTCCTCCATTTATTGGGGCTAATAGCAACCTCACTGTCCTTGACATGTCCATGAATAATCTTGTGGGCAGGATACCAAAGCATATATGCAGGTTTCAGAAATTGATTTTTCTTAGCCTGGGATCAAACAAGTTGTCTGGGAACATTCCTCGTGGTTTAAAAACTTGCAAATCTCTCGAGCATCTAATGCTGGGAGACAATTTCTTTACGGGAAGTCTTTCTACTGAATTCACAAAACTTCAGAACCTTTCAGCACTTGAACTCTATCAAAACCGATTCTCAGGATTGTTACCTTCAGAAGTGGGAAATTTTACTACCTTAGAGAGGCTGCTGTTGTCGGGTAACCAATTCATTGGCCAAATTCCTATGGACATTGGGAAACTTGTAAAGCTCGTTGCATTCAACTTGTCGTCCAACAGGCTCTTTGGAAGCATTCCTCAAGAGTTGGGAAACTGTATAAAGCTCCAGAGGCTCGATCTTAGTAGGAACTGGTTTAGTGGCTCCATTCCAGGAAAGCTAGGGATGCTGGTGAATCTGGAACTGCTGAAACTATCTGATAACACGTTGACGGGACCAATACCAGGAACTTTAGGGGGTCTAGCCCGATTGACAGAATTGCAAATGGGTGGAAATTTCTTTTTGGGAAACATTCCAGTCGAGCTAGGTCGATTAACTTCTCTTCAGATTGCTCTGAATATCAGTCATAACAATCTCAGTGGCTCAATCCCGAGCAATTTAGGTAACCTGCAGATGCTAATATCACTTTACTTGAATGACAACCAGCTTGGTGGTGAAATTCCTAGTTCAATAGGAGCACTAATGAGCCTAAATATATGCAATCTTTCTAATAATAATCTGGTGGGAACAGTGCCAAACACCCCGGTTTTCCAGAGGATGGACTCCAGCAATTTTGCTGGAAACAATGGATTATGCATATTAGGTTCAAATCATTGCCATTCATTTCCAGCCCCTACATCTGCTCCAAATCCTAGCTGGTTGAAGGAAGGTTGTTCCAAAGAAAAAATAGTCGGCATTGTTTCAGTTACTATAGGCCTGATCTCTTTGACTTTTATTGTGAGTGTTTGTTGGGCTATCAGGCACCGTAAACCTTCTTTTGTTTCACTTGAAGATCAACCGAAACCTGATGTATTGGATGGCTATTACTTTCCAAAGGAAGATTTCACATATATGGACCTTGTTGATGCCACGGGGAATTTTTCAGACAGCGCTGTCATAGGAAAGGGAGCCTGTGGAACTGTCTACAAGGCTGTAATGACCAATGGGGAAGTGATTGCAGTTAAAAAGTTGAAAGCCAGAGGAGAAGGAGCCAGCTCAGACAACAGCTTTTGTGCTGAAATTTCGACTTTGGGAAAAATTAGGCACAAAAATATTGTAAAACTCTATGGCTTTTGCTACCACCAGGACAGCAATCTTATATTATACGAGTACATGGCGAATGGAAGTCTGGGAGAAGTACTTCATAGGAAGGAGAAAGATTGTATTCTCGAGTGGAATGCTCGATACCAAATTGCTCTTGGTGCTGCAGAGGGGTTATGCTATCTTCACAATGACTGTAAGCCTCAAATCATTCATCGCGACATAAAATCAAACAACATTTTGCTTGATGAATATTTTGAGGCTCATGTTGGTGATTTTGGCTTGGCAAAGTTGATCGACTTCCCCTTCTCAAAATCAATGTCTGCTGTTGCTGGTTCATATGGCTACATTGCTCCTGGTACGAGTGTCCTTTACAAGATTCTGATAACAGCTTTTCTTTCACTATTTGACAACTATCTGAATAATTAATATAATCGAATAATGTTCCTTTTTTTTTTTTTTTTGGTTTCAGAATATGCTTACACGATGAGAGTGACTGAGAAATGTGATATATATAGTTTCGGGGTAGTTTTGTTGGAACTGATTACTGGAAGGTCCCCTGTCCAACCTCTTGATCATGGAGGTGACCTAGTTACCTGGACAAGAAGATCGATATCTAAATTAGTAACAACATCTGACATATATGATCAACGGATTGCTCTTAGCGAGAAAAGGACTATGAGAGAGATGTCTTTAGTACTTAAAATTGCAATGTTCTGTACCAGCACATCCCCTCTCAACAGGCCTACCATGCGCGAAGTCATTGCAATGCTGATCGACGCCAGGGAGTCAGCGAGTGATTCATTATCATCTCCAACATCAGAAACTCCCCTAGAAGAAGCTGGTTTCTGTTAAGGTACTACAATCTGCTCTCAGTTCTCTTAAATGTCTCATACGATTCAATGCACGAGTTTGACACAATAGCACTGCAGATTTTACATTTCACTTCTTTAATACTGTCTAGTATTATCCACATTATCTTATCAAGCAAGATATATGTATAATTCATCATTCTTGGGGTGATTGTTCTTTAATTTCCAGGTGCTATGGAGCTGTAGGTTGTCATTTGAAGACAAGGGCTTTCAGAAGATTATTTTTCTTCCTATTTGGATAATGCACCAAGAAACTGTCATCTCCTGAGAGCCTGCCCTGCTTGATATGAAGGTGGAAGCCAGAGCAAAAACACCTTACTTTTACTCACTCTAGTATAATTTGGGTTATCGTACTTATCCCCATTTCGTTCAGAAAATAATTTTTTTCCCCTATTTTTGTTTTCCAATTACGCGTTTCGACTAGTTTAAGTTTATAGACGAAATAAAATTAATCAATATTTTGCAGTAGTCTTGAAGATGAAAAAATAATTTCTTAAGAAAATTATGGAAATTTGCTCATTGACTAAACATAGTAGATCAAATTAGAAGATTTATCCTTTGAAGGATTTGTTTAGAAATCCATATTGTGCTGCTTTTTATCTTAAGTCAGCTTTTGAAATCCTGATGTAATGCCTACGTCATTGGAAAACAAAAAGCAATTTCTATCCCTCGTGCTAAAAAAATCTAAATAACTTGAATTATAATTAGATGCAATCCGATCTGTCGACCGTTAGCACCACAATTTTACGCATAGTACACGCGTCATGTTTTGAAAACTATATTAAGAAAAAGGAAGTCTGTTTATTTTATAAACTACTGTATATTAAGATATGAAACAAAAAACCTCTTTTTATGGAAGATGACAGCCAAACAAGGGACAAACAAGGCTTGGTCCCCTCAATTGGATAAGTTCAAAGGCTAGCACAATATGGAAATTGTGGGCACCTCTCTAAACAATCCTATGCCTTCTTCCCTTGGCAATTGACCTACCATAATTATTGATACGGTGAATTGTTCTTCATTTCACCCTCTAGTATGTGTCTAGTGAAAATTTCATTGTTCAACAGTTCAATGGTGAACTTCTATAGGTTTTTATAGAGAAATCAAACAAAAACAATAAAATCACTATTACTAAACCTCCTTCGATAAATTTATAAATAATTTGTGAAGAGGAATAGTAAGAGAAGTAGTAGTGGATAATATATGCGCTAAATTATGTTTCATAGTTTTGAGTCCAAGTCGAAATTAAGAGACAATGTAACTAGATTCCATTGAGATGAAATTTAGTGTTAAACTTTGTCGCTATCTTATCCTGAAGCTATATGTGGAGAATAAGCTTGAAAAATGCTCAAATTTGAGGAATGTCATAAAAGTTGCGTTCTAAAATTCCACATAGGCGTCGTCTAGACGTGCCTTGGTGGGAAAAAGTGGTCACCTATGTTGATCGCCCAAGACATGTCTTAGTGGAAAGGCGTGTGCATTTTTGTTTGACAAATGGTATATTCTTGTTTTAATGTCCAGCATGACAAAACGTTCAAAAAGTGGTAAAGCGTAACAAGGAAATAAGTCAAATAATAAACAAACACTAGCTCAAATTCAGTTCACGAACATAGCTTTATTTGCCTGCTAACAAAGCATTATTGATTTAAAATATTTATAATTTTTAGAATTATGTTTTTGGTGAAAAATTGAAAAATATTTGCGAAATTCTTATAAATTATTATACGTATTATTTTATTTATTTATTGGTGTAGAATAACTAAAATTAATACTAAAGATAATAAAATACCTTTTTAGACCTAAATTCATAAGAGTTGACCTCGAAGCCTCACACTTTTTAGAATTGAGGTGAATTAAGCAACGATGTATGCAGTATCTTACTTTACTTTGCACTATTTAAGAGTTTATTTTTGAATTACTGCACGTTTATTTCAGTGCAAATTGCAAAGTTCAGGTTAACCTCAATCCTTTTCAAGGACTATGAAAGATTTGGAAGCAAGTTCAAAGAAAATCTTGCAGAGATTTTTGGTCCCTTCAAGAAAATCGTGCTCGATGTGTCCACGCATCATGCTTATTATTGTTAAAATGATATAGCAGAACGTTGAACAACTACATGTAAAATTTTAAACGGTTAAAAAGCAGACGCGGATATTTTATTCAAAATTATATTCTTCAACATATCTCCTTTCTATAGGTGCATGCACAAATTTTAGAAATGGGTTGACCACACGAATCCGACCCTCCACATGACTAACTGCAAGTTACTCCACGTTTTCCTTTCTGCGCGAAACATCAAACGATCAGGCGTATACAGTCGGTACGAGCGGCGGCAGCGACGGTGGTGATTGCACACACTCCGATGATCAAGTCAGTAGACAGTGACGACGGCAACGGTGTCGGATTGCGCAACACTCAAAGGGAGGAGAAAATTTGTTAGCTTGGGTATGGAATGCTTACCTTACTCTTGGCCAAGACCTTGGTATTTGTAGGCAAAGGAAATTGCTAGATACGTGACACATGTAATAATCTGACGATCCGAAGCGTTTGGCTCGTAAGCGTCCATCAATCTCTTTCTAGGTTAGCGGACAATTAATTCTGCTGTTGAATTTGAGTTGACATATGGCAGAAACGTCACATCAATTATTCCCCAAGATATAAAAAAGATCTTGGTCAAAAATCTCTGGAACTGGCGGCGGAGAAGTGGTGCTGTTTTGCTTCGCGAGGCCATGCCTCAGATGGAATCGGCTCGGGCACTTCGGGAGTGGCGTCTCGAGGTCATGTTGCACCTCGAAAAGACCTCATACCAAGGACGTAACAGACTTAAAGTCATCTACAACTCTAATACGAAATTTAAATCACTTAGTTTAAAGACTCTTGCATTAAAAATAGACATTTGTCTTTTATATTTTTCAAACTTGAAGTTAATACAAAAAGTAGGAGGTGGCCGCAGTCATCGGTGGATCCAGCACTCGGCAAGCCCCCGCGGCCGCGCGTGCTGAATCCGCCGGGAGCCATTTTTTTTGAGTGAGAATAGACAAATATATAGGATATATTAATGGTAAGTTACATTTCTCTCAGCTGTTCCTTGCAGCCGAGTTGGTCAGCCCTTGCTTTTGTTTATTTTACGTCCCAGGTTCGATTCCGTCCACCAATTTATTGTATAAATTTTTAGTTATACAATTTTCACCAAAAGCAATTGAAATAAGGAAAGGGCTAACGGGGAATTGAACCTGTGACCTATTCTAAGATATAATGAAACTTGACCATTATGTCATTCGATGACTTGTGGTACAAAGTTTAATAAAATAATATATGTAAGATTTTATTGGTTTTGATGCAATTATAAAAATTTTAATACCACGTTCTTCTTTTGAATTATACAAAGCAATAATGTTATTTGGTGAGTATGATTTATTCTTATAACAAAATTATATATATTCAACTTCAACAAAATAATTATTTTATTTTATTTTGAAACCTTGTTTGTCCCATTTTGTTCAGAATACATTTTTCTTTCTCTTATTTTCGATCAAACATTCTTTAATAAAATAATATTACAC